TGTTGACAGTCTTTGTTCATCAAGAATATAGGTCTGGTTGCCCCCTCTTCCAGGCCAGCTCTCTGCTGTGGCCAGGGAGTGCAGTGGAGGATGGCCCAAGTACTTGGGGTCTGCACCCCATGGGAGACCAGGAGGAAGCACCTGGCTCCTGCCATCGGATGGGTGCGGTGCGCCGGCTGCAGTGCGCCAGCCGCAGCGGCCATTGGAGGGGAACCAACAGCAAAGGAAGACCTTTCTCTCTGTCTCTCTCTCTCACTGTTCACTCCGCCTGTCAAAAAAAAAAAAAAAAAAAAAGAATATAGGTCTGGGGCCACAGTTGTGTAGCAAGTAAAGCCACTGTCTGCATTATGTATGACTGCTGGTTCAAGTCCTGGCTTCTCCACTTCTGATCCAGCTCCCTGTTGATGCACATAGAAAACAGTGGAAGATGGCCAAAGTGCTTGGGCCCCTGCACCTACGTGGGAGACCCAGAGGAAGCTCCTGGCTTCCATCTGGCCCAGCTCTGGCCATTGCTGTCATTGTGGGGTGAACCAGTGGATGGAAGATTTCTCTGTGTCTCTGCTCTCTTTCTGTAACTCCGCCTTTCAAACAAATAAAATTTATAAAAGGAAAAAAGAACATAGGTCTGCAGTTTTCATGTTATGTCTTTGTTCAGTTTGGGTATCAGAGTGATACTGGATTCATAGTAAGTTTGGCAAAGTTCCATCCTGTTCAATATTTTGGAATAGCCTGAAAAGTATTAGACTTCATGTTTGAATGTTTTGTAGAATTCAGTGGTAAAACCACCAAGTCTTGGACATTTCCTTGATGGAAGACTTTTGATAATTGCTTTCAATCTCAGTGCTTGTTATGGGTCTGTTTAAATTGTTTATATCTTCTTGATTTAATCTTTGCAGGTTGTAAGTGTCTAGAAATGTATGTGCTTCTGAGGTTTTCCAGTTCATAGTAGTTTCTTAAGATCCATTGTATTTCAGTGGTGTTGGTTGTAATGTTTCCTTTTTAATCTCTGATTTATTGGAGTTTTTCTCTTTTTTTTTGGTTAGTCTGGCTAATGATTTGTCTATTTTCTCTTCTCAAAAAGTTTTTTGTTTTGTTGATCTTTTGTGTTTAGTTTCAATTTCATTTATTTCTACTCTCTGATCCTTATTCTCACCTCCTGCTGATTTTGGATTTGGTTTGTTTTTGTTTTTCTGTCTTAAAGATGCATCATACAATCATGTATTTGAAACATTTCTGGGTGTTTTGTTGTTACTGTTTTAAAGATTTATTTATGTGGGGGCCTGCGCTGTGGCGTAGCAGTTAAAGCTGCAGTCTGTGGTGCCGGCATCCCATACGGGCACTGGTTCAAGTCCCAGCTGATCCAGCTCTCTGCTATGGCCTGGGAAAGCAGTTGAAGATGGCCCAAGTGCTCGGACCTCTGTACCCACATGGGAGACCCAGAAGAAGCTCCTGGCTCCTGACCGGCACAGCTCCGGCTGTTATAGCCATCTGGGGAGTGAACCAGAGGATCGAAGTGTCCCCCCACCCCGCATGTGTGTGCGTGCGCGCACCTCTGCTTGGGCCCGCCTCGGCTGCCTTACCAGGCGTATTAGCAGACAGTTGGATCGGAAGTGGAGCAGCTAGACTCAAACCTGTGTGCATATGGGATGCCTGGGATGCCACAGCAACAGCCCCTGTTTCTTAGAATGTGTGAGACCCCCGCAAAAGCCCCTAAACAATGCAGGTCCTGGGAAATGGGGAAGCAAACTGGTTTTGAGAGGAGCGGTTAAATGTTACTTAGGCGCGGTTAAATGTTACTTGAGATATGGGCACCGAAACATCCTGTTATGTACATAAGCCCACTCCCCTGTGCTTGCTTAAGCTTAACAAAGAAACTGCAAGGCACGTAAGGCATGTAGCAGCCCGTTTCTCTTCCCAGACGACCCCCTCCCCCGGTGTACCCCTTTGACCTAGTACTTTTCCACTGACATTACCGCTTTCAAACTGCCATATAGGGTCAATTGCTGAGAACTATCCAATGAACTTACGCCACCCTATAGTATGTTAATTTTGTGGTTTTTCCCCTTAAAAGCTGTGTGAGATGATTGTTCGGGGCTCTCTCTCTCTTTCTCGCCGCTTGTGGCAGCAGAGGGCCCATTTGTGCAAATGAAATAAAACTGCCTCTTGCTTTTTGCATCGCCTGGTCTGGAGTCTGTGTTTCTGGGGTCGTCACAAAAGGGCACCACTTTTGGGGTCCTTCAAATATAAGCACGGAACTGCTACAGACGTCCCTCTAATGCTGCTTATTCTGTATCTCACAGGTGTTGATACGGTGCTTTGAGTTTCATTTGTTTCAAGGAAGTTTTTTATTCCCTTTTTAATTTCTTCAGTGACCCAGTGATCATTCAGTAGCAAGTTTAATTTCAGTGTATTTGTGAGTGTTCCATTGTTGATGTTTAGTTTTAATACTTGATGGTGTGGGAAGACACATGGTGTGACTTCAGCCATTTTAAACTTACTGAGACTTGATTTGTGGCCTAAGACACGACTGTCTTAGCAGATGATGCATGTGCTGGTGAGAACAGTGTGTATTTTGTAGCTGTTGGGTGAAATGTTCTGGTCCATTTGCTCTACAGTGTGTTTCAACTCTGATGCATCTTTGTTGATTTTTGCCTGGATGATCTATACATTGATGAGCGGGTGTTGAAGTCACCTACTGTTTTTGTGTTGGGATCTATCCCTTCAGGTCTAATAGCATTTGCTGTATATATCTGGGTGTTCTTGTATTGGGCGCATATATATTTATGATGTTTTATCTTCTTGCTGAATCAAACCTTTTATCAAAATATAATGCCTCTGTTTTCATGGTTTTTGATGTAAAGTCTGTTTTATCTGATTATTTTTGGTTTGTATTTGTCTGATGTTTCTTTTACCAGCCCTTCACTTTGTCTATATGTGTATTCATGTGTGAAGTGAGTTTCTTGTAGGTGGCATATAATGGCATCTTTTTTTTGTGCATTCAGACAGCATAAATATTTTGGTTGGAGAATTTAATCTATTTACATTCGGGGTTGGTGTTGCTGGAGAAGAACTAGGACCTGCTCTGATAGGGAATCTGGCAGTGTTGTGTGTCTCCACGTTTACTTCTAATGCAGGACTCCCGTCAGGCCAGTCCCGCTCCCTCACTGTTGAAGAATAGCTTCACTGGCTATCATATTCTCGGTTGAAAGTTTAAAATCCTGAGTATATCATCCCATTGTCTCCTGTACTGTAGGGTTTCTGCCGAGAAGTCTGATGTTGGTATACAGGTTGTCGTTTACATGCCACTTGATGCTTTTCACTACTGTCTTTAGGATTCTCCCCTTGTCCTTAACTTGTGACAGTTTAACTACAGTATGCCTTGGGCACAGTCCTTTTTGAGGTCTTTTTGAGTCTGCTTGGGATCCTTTGAGCTCCTTGTATCTGGATGCCCATGTCTCTTTCAAGATCTGGGAAAGTTTCAGCTATTATTTAGCAGGTTCTCAATGAGTTTTTCTTGCTCTTCTCATTCAGGAGCACCTATAATATGGATATTTGGTTGTTTAATTGTATCCCATATCTCATATGGACGTTCTTCGTTCAGTTGTTTTCGTGTTTGTCCGAGTGGGTTCTTTCAAAAAGCTCACCCTCGTGGTCAGAGGTTGTTTGCTACACTTGGTCTGTTCTGCTGGTAAAGTGCTCATATTCTTTGTCACTGATTGAAGTTTTCTCCAAAATTCTACTTGGTCCTCCTTAATGAGTTCTATCTCCTTAGTAATATTTTCATTCAAGTCACTCATTGCTTTCCTCATTTCTTCAAGCTCTCTCTATTGTGTTGAAAAATGCGTTGAATTTCCTTAAAATCATCTCTTTAGATAGTAGATCTCCTTCAGTTTATGATCTAATTCTGGAGAACTGTTGTGTCCCTACATTGACGTCTGCGCATCTGGTGTTGTTTACAGAGTGTTTTATTGGAAAACAGTTTATGGTTTAGCTGGAACGCAGGGTACCACTTGGCTCTGGGTGGGCTCAGGAGTGTGGTCTGAGGTCTTTGGCTTTAATGTGAGTAACACAGGGTCAGGTCTGCTGCAGTTTGCAGGGGTAGAATTGTGACTTGCACGAACGCGGGCTTCCTAGGGTGTGAATCTTTAGTCCAGACTGGGGACTGGGACATCCAGGGCCTTGTTCTTGGTGCTGGTGACGAAGGTGGCTGTCCCCTGTGCCACTGCAAGCCTGAGTGATGTTGGGGCTGTGTGATGTGGATGGGCCCTTCTTCAGGTCTCGCCAGCAGAGTGCAGCTGATGCTGTGGCTTTTAACACCAGTGGCCCACATGCCAGGGTGGGGGACACGAACTGAAGCCTGCTCCAGCCCGGCTACACGGTAGACAGATGTTATTCTGGAGGTTTGGAATCCATAGACGTGGAACACACGTAGGTTCTTCCCTAGGTCCGCTGGGTGGATTCCAGTGGGATTGAGGAAAGTAGCACTGATTGTCATGGGGTACAATGGAGTCATTACCCAGCTGTCCCAGGGTAGGACTAAGCTTCGGGGGGCTAGCAGCAGCCCCTAAACCAAGAGGGAATGGCTCTGGATCACGAGGGGTGCATTAGCACAGTTCCAGGGTGTATGCCCAGAAAGTACCAGATTCCGGGGTCTGTTGTCTGCCTTGCACAGTTCACGACGCTGGCTCTGCTGTGTGACAGCAGATTTCAGCCGATGCCGAGACCCTCAGCTCCCCCGGCTAGCGTGAGAGCCAGTAGGTGACTGTGATTTCCTCTGTCCCCTAACTCTGGGTGGCAGGGGCACAGCAGTTTCTTCCTACCTTGACCTGAGAAGGCAGCCGCTCCCAGCGTCTCGGAGCTCCGTTGCCACTTCTCAAACGAAAGCCGCTATCAGTGTGGCGACACTCTGCGGCCTTCTCTGGGTCCCGCCCCAGAAGCCTGGTTTTATTAGCTCACTTTCCGATGCTGTCATTGGATTAAACGGGCAAACACACCAAAGGTATTAAGGAGAGTTTTATTGTAAAGATAGGCAGGACCTACAATTGTACATTTTTCCACGTCTACAAAAACTCTCAGAGTAGGGATTTCTTCGTGTCTGTCGTACCAGCAGACAGATTATTTATAAACTGGGAGGAGGGACGGTCACTTCTTGCCAAACTGAGGCAGAGGCGGCGGCACCTTGATGTCTTGGCCTCTCTCCAGCTTCTTCTCACAGTCCACCAGGTAGTTGACGCCGTCGATGACGATCTGGACAAGTTCCACCTTTGGGAGGAAGGGATCCAGGGTGAGCGAGGGGAACGCTGGGGAGCTGAGCCCCTGCCCCTGCCGCACTTCCCAGTAGTGTCTTCCTTCTCACTGTCCCTCACAGAATAGGGGAGCAAAGGCCGAGCTGTCACAAGGCTTCCTGTCTGGTCTTAGTCAACATGGGGTCGCCACTGTGTGTGCACTTATATAGTAAAAACCGTTCGTTTCATATTTGCTGTAAAATATGTTTGTCTACGAGGCAGACCGCAGAGAGTACCCTCGTGGTGGTGGTTGGCCGGATCTGATTCTGACCTGCCTCTTAGTGATCTGAGCACGGAGTGTGCTGTAGTTAAGGGATCATCAGCTAACATCCAGTGTTTGGCAACTCAGTCACGGGCACAGTGCCAGGGAAATAGTCCTTCAAGGAAACCGTCAAGTAAGTATGTTAAAATACAACACTCTCCCGGCTGCTCCTCTTCCGTGGCCGGGGAAGGCAGTGGAGGATGGCCCAAGTGCTTGGGCCCCTGCACCCCATGGGAGACCAGGAGGAAGCATCTGGCTTCGGATCCGTGCAGCGTGCCAGCTATAGCAGCCACTTGGGGGGTGAACCAATGAAAAAAGGAAGACCTTTCTAACTCTGTAAGCACGAATTTTAGAGAATTTCTCTTTTTTTTTTGACAAATACAGTGTGAGAATTAAAGTTTCTACACACTGTGTTTGCTTACATGACAGCGCATGTACCTGTGCTTACCCCACCCCTCTCATCACCTCCCAAGCAGACTGTGCTGACCCAAGGTATCCTGAACGAAGAGCAGGGCTCAGAGGTCCCGGCGCACTGGCGCTGGAACAGCAATCGGGGATGACGGAGTGCACTCCCCTGCCCGTCGTCTCCATGCGCAGGACGCTGGTTAGACTTTTGCTGCTTAGCCAGTTGACCCAGTGTCTTTGGAGGTTTGTTCTCCTGCTCAGTGCCTAGAGAATTTCTGGTCAGAAGAAGGGCCTCCTTGTTTATAACCCAGGAATTCTCCTAAAAATCGTCCTAGTGAGGGATCGTGAATTGTGATAGAAGAACAGAGATGGTCACAACAGCCAAGAATCAGGACAACGTGAGGGAAGGGATCACCTGTCCTCTGCTGTCACTCAGAGCATTTAGTAATGAAGGTGTTCCAGTGTGTGTTACAGTACCCAATGTGTGTTGTGATTACTTTAAGGGGTCTTTTTAGATAATTCTTAAATTATGGAAAGCAGTCTAGAATACTGTTCAGAGTGGTAGCTAGGGTTCTAAGAGTCTTTTGAGACATGTTTCCAGCCTTTAGAGTGGTTACCTGTTGGCTTACTGCTAAGTTACAGCTTGACTGCCATGCGCATGGGGCAGTGGGCAGCCCCCATCATTCTCGGCTTCCCAACCTGGCCTACCCCCTGCCGTCGGTGTGTGCTGGGCCTGCAGATCTGGCGTGGCCTTGAAGCCCCTCCCTCTGTCCAGGTCTGCCCCGTGCCTGCTGCTGGAGGGGGCGGAGCAGCTCTCACTCCCGGGGAGCTACCTGATTTGCCTACGCACGCTCAGGTTACAGGTGGCCTTGAAATGCCAGGATTGGTTGGCTGTTTGCCTATCACCTCTTCCTGGCTGAGTCAGTTGGCTCCCATAGGGCCGTGCAAGGGCAGTACCTCCGACCGGCCGATCCGGTCGATGTTGGAAATGTCGTACACGTCTGCCACCGCCGCGGTGTCCACACCGCCCGTGCCGCGCTTCTGCAGCCTCAGGTTCTCCAGGATCTTGGAGAAACGTGGGTCCTAGGACGAGGACGACACTCAGTGCCAGGGCAGCAGAACCCGTCCCCCATCACTGGTGTATCCACTGGGAAGGACACAGGATGAGAGGAGAGCCGGTGTTTGCTCCGGGCTAGGGCGCCGTGCTGGCACTGTGGAGCCTCACTTGCAGCTGGTGACCTGGGTATTGCCTTCGTCTTTGTCTGCTGTGGCTGTAAGGAGTACCTGAGAAGGGGTTTTGTAAAGAGCGTTCCTGTGCTCACTGAGGCCCAGGAGGCCGGGAGGGGGCAGAGGCCTCCCCTGGAAGACGGAGCCAGCGTCTAGCCTGGGGCTCCCGTCCTCTGTACAAAGCCACCACGGAGCCCCTTCCTAAGCTCATCCCATCCTGATTCCTTCCCGAGGGTCCCACCTCCGAATTGGAGGACTGGGACCGAGTCAGCCGTGGCCAAGCCCAGTCTGTGGACCAGGCACGGAACTTCCCTGGCACACACTGGCTCAAGTCACCCAGCTGCAGCGAGGAGGGACTCGGGCCCGACTCCCACTCGTGCTCTTGACTGCTTTTCACATCCTGATAGCAGCTTTGGTGTTACAGGCATTGTTGGAACTCAAATTATGGGAAGTGATTTACTCCACAATTTAACATTGGGATTTTGAGGTTTTTTTTTTTTTTTCTTTCAGAAAGCACAAGGGGAAAACCATTTGGTGTCCTGTGGCAGAACCGTGTACCTCTTCCAGCGTTGGAGTCAAGACAGCAACCACCGGCTACAGAACCAGCAGGTAACGCGGTCACGCCCAGGCCCGACCTGGCCCCTGCCAGTGCTTGGCCCCTTCCTGCAGGCGGGACCTGGGACCTTGCAAGTGAGGACGCCGCCCCTTCACACGTCCCCTGAGCAGCAGCCTGTCACCGAGCATTGAGTGAGAGACGCGGAGTCTGACCATCCAGGAGCTGCTCACATGCTCGTGTTAGCGACCTGCTCGCTCCAGGAGCCACGTGGAGCGGGCTGCCGCCCTGTCCAGACTGGTCCCCCAAAAGGTCTCATTTGGGGGTCCGTGTTGTGCAGCAATGCCAGTATCCCACGTGGGTTCAGCGCCCCAGCTGCTCCACTTCCAAGCCAGCGCCCTGCTCATGTACCCAGAAAGGTAGCAGGTGATGGTCCAAGTATTTGGGCCTCTGCCTCCCATGTGGGAGACCAAAGTGGAGGCCCCGGTGTCCGCCTGGCCCAACCCTGGCTGTTGCAGCCCTACGGGGAGGGTGCCATCAGCTAGATGCTTTCTGTCTCTTTGGCTTTGAAGCAAATAAAGCATAGCTTAGAAACATTCAGAGGCCTCATTCTTGAAGCCATCATCCCTTGATCCAGGCCCCTGAACTCTCTCCTCTCCTCCCATCATTGGACAAAGCCCAGGGCTGAGGAACAGGCCGCCGTGCACACAGCAGCCAGGGCTGAGCCCCACCTTGCTGAGTTTGGGGATCCTCACGTGCACTCCAGCCCGTAACCCCGTGCCAAGGTTCGAAGGGCAGGTCAGAATGTAGCCCAGGCGCTCGTTCCACATGAACTCCCAGCCCCGTTCCTGGATCAGCCGCTCCACCTGCAGGGGAACAGGGAACACAAGGCCGAGCGTCCCGGCGTCCATTCTCTCAGCAAAGCCCCGGGCACCCTGTTTGCTGTGAACAGAGCATGGCACTGCCCCATCAGCACATCAACAGGGCCTGACTAAACGGGACGCTGCCTGGAGGCCTGGAACACAGGGCCTTGCATACACGAAGCGCTGCGCGGCAGCTGGTGTGAACCTGAACGTGGACGGATCCTATCAGAGACTGTCTCTGCTCGACATGGCCAAGGGCAACACGCAAGGAAGGCGGAGAGCCAGTGACCCCCAGACTTGCCCAGTGCAGGGTGGACTCTGGGGGCAAGCATCAGGGCTTTCTGATGACGACGCACCCCGCTGCAAATGCCTTTCCCAAAAGTGCAGGGCTCCCCCGACGGGGCGCTCCCCTGTGCCGGGCCTGCTTTCTGGGGGAAAGAACACTGTGCATCTTACTTCCTTGAGCCCACGACAGAAGCGCTCAAAGACCCGCTTCATGTTGCCTCCCTTCTCCATGGAGATGACCCGGGTGTGGTCCTCCTCGTTGATCCAGATGAGGAACGTCTTGTCGTAGTTGTGCCTGGGGAGGAGAGAGACAGGGCGAGGCGCACTCAGTGCTCGGACATCCCCACGGCCTCCGGCTTCGCCGCATGTCCGCCGCCGTCAGCCTCCGACTGTGCCTGAACCACGAGCAGAAAATGGTGGGGCCTCCGCAGAAGGAAGAGGACCCGCCCTAGCGATGGCACATCTCACCCGACAAGGACAAGGACGGCAGCCCCGTCCTCAGGGCGGGCGGCGGGCATCGGCCTTGGTGAGTGGGCTTGGCACGCTCCCACCACCATTTTGTTCACAGATTCAACATCGCACGGCACTTTTCCAGAAAGACTTCCCACAAGGCTTGATGTGTCTGCTGTGCAGACCCTGCCCGTCTGTCCCCTCTGCTCCTGCCAGCGCACTCACGACCTAGCACGGCAGAGTCAGGGTGCACCAGGACGGCACGTGCATGCCACACACCCCTGCCTGGTTCCTTAACGCCTCAGCATTCAGGCTGTCAAACAAAACAGCCGCTCTGGGAGCCGAGTGTTGCTTTCTCCTCACGGAACTCATGCAGACAAGTTCACCCTGCTGCATGCCTTGCAAACTTCGCAGTGCCTAGGTGCACACCCCCAAGTCGCCTGTCCCCTCCAGGAAGCGGAAGCCAGGCACGCTGTCAGCTGCAGCTCACGGCACCCCGAGGTTAGGGCAAGGCGCTGCTCTGCACGCGTGGCACACAGGGAAACGCATCCGTACCAGATTCCCCGGGCATCGGGCCAGTCGCGGGCCATCCCAGCGCACGTGAGCAAAGGGGACACTGGCTTGTCAAACAGAAAGTGGTCCTGCAGGCCAGAGGGGGCGCCAGGGAGGTCAGACGCGTCGGCCAGGGCCAGCGATTCCTCATCTCAGCAGTAACAGCTGAGCCCTCGTGGGCAGGGGTCTCAGCACGGCTGCCCCAAGAACAGGTGAGAGAAACGGGAATACCCGCTTCCCATCGTCCAGATCCCGACCTGCCTCGGTGCCAGTCCTGGGCAGGGCAGTCGGGTATAGCTAAGGCTGCAAGACCACTCGCTCGGCCCAGCCACAGATCCTTAACAATGACCGCTGCGGAGTGTGCCCGGCCACTGCCCAGCCGGTGAGAGGGCGGCGCAGACTAGCAGGAGCCGCGGGGTCTGGAGAAGCCCCACACGCCGCTCCTGCACTGCCGGCTCCCTCCTTTCCTACTGAGGTCGGGCGGGCAAGCAGTGATCCATCAGTCACAGTAGCCACCCTCACTGCTCACAGCTGTCCCCTGGCATCACAGAGCTGTGACACAGGTGCAGGTGTCCTACTCTGGAGGTCAAGGGAGGAGATGCGGAGGGACCCAACCACCACACAGCGTCACACCGAGGGAGGAGCAGGCTCCCGGGACGCCCAGCCTTGGGCCTTGTCACCGGCACCCTCCAGCCCACAGGCAAAGCCGGTGTCCCTGCTGTGGGTCTGCGACTCCCCGCGGCGGTCAGATGCCGCTCACTCAAGTGCGGTTAACGGGCGTCTGCTGAAGACGAGCTGGCCAGTGACCGCCACACGGCCCAGCCCTCGGGCCAGGGCGGCCCTCCGAGCTGAGCGGGCCTGTTCTGTCACGGCGCACAGCGCGGTGGCCGGGCAGAGCCAGAACCGGGGGCAGGAGGCCTCGCTGCCCGCCAGGTGTGGAGCTGGGGGTCCCGTGGCACTCACATCATCGGGATGTCAGGGTTCTACCTCACTCTTGTTTAGATCCCGAGTTACTTTTCAAAACGCCATCTGGTTTCACCTTCACTAAGGGGTCCTGGCGGGAGACTGGGTTTCCGGGGTCTGGGAGGGCACCCTGGGGGCGGCGCACAGGCAAGGCGTCCGGGCTCCCAGCTCGCCAGCCGGATCCGGGTGTTCTGCACCGGCCGCAGCCGCGGAGGACCCGGGGCTCAACCAGGAGGGGTCAGGCTCCCCCTCCCCGGAACCTGCGTCTGCCCGTGCCCGCCACTCACGTCTATGAGCCGCTGCTGGTCCTGCTCCGTCATCTCGGACAGCCTGTAGTAGCGGCCGGCCAGGTCCCCCTTGAGGCCCTCCAGGGCGGTGATGGCCACGTTCTCCACCTCCCTGCGCTCGGCGCGGCTGCAGGCGGGCGGCAGGCTCAGGCCGCGGATGCTGCGGCCGGTGCGCACGCGTGACGACAGCACGTAGCGCTCGTCGAACTGGCCCTGGGTGATCTGGGCAGCGGGGGCTCAGGTGGGCGTCCCGGGGGCCCTGCGGCCGCGCAGCCCCGTGCCCTCGGTGTGCACAGGGACAGACGCTCCCGCACCCGTGGTTTGCGGCAGGAAGGGCGTGGCCTCCGGAGAGATGCAAGGTTTCTCCCCCACCCAGCCCACCCCCACCCGAGACATTCCCTGCCGCCCTCCCCGGAGGACCCGCGCTGGGCGCTGGACTGGGCGAGCAGCCCCTCCCCTCTCCCAGGTCTCCGGCTCTCTAGGGTGCCGGCTTCACGGTCGGGGGCCCACCTTGGATGCGTCCAGGTCGTGGGGTGCTTCATCACCCGGGGTCGTAGCCGTTGTGCCTCAGTTTTGATGAGGGTCAAACAGGTCAGCAAACCTGCGGGCAGAAGGCACTGTGGTTCCCCCGAGGTCCCCACCAGCCGTCCACAGGCCGTGCTCAGGGGGGATCAGAGGGGGACCGGGGGGACGAGGACCACAGTGGGCTGGGACCAGAGGCACCATCCTGCCCAGCCCCGCCATCAGGCTGGGCAAGAAACCCCTGGGGCTAACAACTGGAAGGGGTGGCCAGAGGGCCTCAGCTCTGTGGGGCCAGAGAAGCCGCCAGCCGCTAGAGAAGCAGTTTCACCCTCCCAAGTCAGGCTGCGCAGTGTAGGCAGCAACATGGCTCCCAGGACCGGGCTGCCCAGGAAGTAACCAGAGCAGGGCCTCAGCCCGAGACGGCCGCTGGGTTTTGTCAGACTCCACTCTGTAAGTAACCGCTTCCGGCAGGGCCCTTGGTCCAATCACAGGAGGAGCACCCCACCCTGGGCCCCGTGGGGTCTGGGTCCGGGGGGCCAGCTGTGGAAGCCCAGGTGAGACACTGCTGTGCCCTGGCTGCCCGCCTGGGAGATGCCTTCAGCCTCCGGCAGCGTAGGGGACAGAGGAGCCGTGAGGGGGTGGGCTGTGGGCCTTTAGCAAGAGGCTGCGGGGGTGGGGAGCTGCACGCTGCTGGCTTCCGTGCTGTCCCTGACAAGGCGACACCGTAGGGTTTGGTCAACTCAGGCGTCTGGGCCCTGCGGGCTAACTGGTCATAGCTGGAAGTTCTCAAGCTAAGCCACAGGCTTGCAGCCGCATCAGCTCCCCGGACCTCCACACCCCGCTGTGCCAGCTCAGCCCTGGCCGTACATCTCACTCCTCTGTGGGGACAGATACGAGGGCAGCAGCAAAGGCAGCTGGTGGCCAGAAAGTCACAGGCTGCGTGGCGCCAGGAAGTGTTCCAGATGGTTCTGTGGGAACCGATTTCCCTTTATGGGCACGCTTCCCGAGAAGGCGCAAAGCCGGCCCCACAGGACTGGGGACTGAGCCCCAAAACCAGAGCGCCCTCCTGGGGAAGCAGCCACCCCCCACTACCTCATAGGACTCTTCGTCGCCTGCCACCATGCCCACGGTCTTGATGAAGGGGTGGCCGGGGTTGTCCACTCCGGTCTGGATGCACTGGTCCAGGGTGTAGCCGTTGGGCGTCACCTTGTTACGGAGCTTGGCGTAGATGGAGGGGGTGAGGCACTCGGCCATGCAGTTGTTGTGCTTGCGCAGGTCCGGGTAGTCCGCACTGCGAGGGGACAGCCGTCAGCCAGCAGCCCAGCGCGGGAGGAGCCTGGAAGGACCTGGCTCCTGCCCCCTCCCCGCCCCCCGGGCTCGCATCAGCCACTGGGCGTGGGCTATGTGGCTGTAGCCGCCCAGGAACCATGGCTTCGGGAAGTGGCTCTACATGCAACATTCCCAGAGGGGTGTTTGGTGCAGCCATGCAGACACCTCTCAGGACAGCCACATTCCAAACCCGAGCGCCTGCTTCCTGCTCACGTGGACCCTGTGAGACACCAGTGATGGCTCAAGTCATCCCACCCACACAGCAGACCTGGGTTGAGTTCCTGGCTCCTCGCTCCGCCTGGCCCAGCCCAGGCTGTGGGGGGCATTTGGGGAGTAAATGACTGAGGGGAGCTCACTCCCTTCCTCTGCTCTCAAATAACTCAGGAACTGGAAAAACTAACTGCCCAGGGAGTGCCGAAGGAAGGGTGCTGGCCCGGCCCGGCGCTCAGGGATGGGGGATTGAGTGGAAGCCACTGGAAAAGGCGTGGGAATCCAATAGCACCGTCTGTCCCCTAGGTCAGTGGTGCAGAGAGGCCAGGGGCCCTGTGAGTGGACGACATGGAATTTGTTTCCGCCGTCATCTTCTGTCCACAGCGCTGCTCCCTGAGAGTGGGATTTTGCCCCGTGGAGGACGGCGCCCAGCAGGGACCTGTCGCTGTCACACACAGGGAGGTGCGAGGTGGGTGCTCTCCACCCAGGGGCGTGCACTGGCGAAGACCAGAGTGCTCTGAGCAAACCCCAGCGTCTGCCTCAGCGACAGAGAGCGAGACCCCCGAGAAAGAGGCAGTGGGCTCCGGTCACTCAGCTCCAGCTGCCGGGAGGGCGGGGCCCCCACACTGACAGGATGCACCTGCTCGTCACGCGCCCCCACCCCCACCCTGCTTCCCACGGCAGCGCCCGGAGAAGCTCACGCCTGCCGTGGTACCGTGACAGCACATCTTCCAGGGGACGGCCGAGCGGTGAGTGCGGCAGGCGTGCACTCCCGGGGTTGCCTGGATTTGCACGGCGGCCTCTGGCTGTGTGAACTTGGGCACCACTCGGCGAGTGGCAGACGGCACACGCCAGTGCTCCTGGGTCTGCTCCCTGTCACAGCTGCTTCTGACTGCAGCAGTGTGCGCTCGGCAGAATGCAGATGCGACACTGCCTCCTACTCACCCAGGCCCGGGCCTCTGTCTCAAAGCTGACGTCAGGGTGACCTTGTCACCCTCCTGGCAAGCAAAGGAGCCCTGGTGAGCTGCGGTGCCGCACAGCAAATCCTCGGCTAGGACACAGTTACCCTGGAGCACCAGGACTCACACTTGGGGGGAACAGCTTGTGCTGATCCCGGGCCTCGGCACACACCTTCTGCCGGTTCACAGGTAGCCAGTGGTCAGGGCGCTGGTCCCCAGGGTGGCAAACAGCAGAGAAGCATTGCGGCCAGTGAG